CTCTTCCGCTGTTCCTGGGAGGTGTGGTCCCCTCTCCCCCCAGAGCCAGACCAGCACAAGCTGCTGTCCCTCCAGGCTTTACTCCCCTCATGGCAAAGGGGCATATACCCTGGTGAGACGCAGCAATGGCAGACGCCCAGCCCTGCCCAGGTGTTCCCCATCCCCAGGGCCGCGGCCTGCCAAGTACTGCTGCCTGAATATCTCCCACTGCCTCCCAACAGCTCTCCTCTTGCAATCCCCCCTCCGACCCAGAGGGTTCTTCTGAGCCCAGCTCCTCAGCGTGGCTGGCAGCAGCAGCCTCTCCCCACTTAGCACGTCGCATTAAATTTGTATGGAAATGAGAGGACACAGTCACGTTGACGAAGCATTTTTAAATTGACATGGAAATTGGATTGCTCAGACACTGCCGGGGAGGGGATGACTTGGTCCCACCTTCCCGGAGGGCATTAATTTAGAGCAAAAGCCTTAACAATTCACTTGCCCTGTGACCTAGCGATTCCGCCTCTAGGCGTTTATCCTGAGAGAGTACTTGTGAACACATGGGAAGACTTATTTGTAAAGATTTCTTTCCATGTCATGACCAAATTGGAATCAAAACCTGAAATACCAACAGGAGGGGACTGGATAAACTGTGGTGACTTGATGTGATAGAATACGCCGGAATGAAATGTCACGATGTTGTAGGAGCTCGTGTAAGCACATCTGGGTCTGTGGTTAGGTGTCAGAGGTTATGAAACATAGTGAGCACGTTTAGAAACACACAGGTGGGTAACCTTAGGTGATGCTTGTGGTGCTGTCGCAGGCGTCCTCGGGTGCTTAGATTTGCCTTTTGTTTGTATGAAATTTAAGATGTTTCCATAGGGAACGACTCTGGTTCTAAAAACATTAATGTATTTCTTTTTTTTAAAGACAGCCTCTTGCGGTGTCATCCTCCTCCCGCCTCAGCCTCCCAGCTGTGACCACAGGTACACGCCACCATGCCCAGCTTCTTTTTCAGACGGGGTCTCACTCTGATTCCCTGTGCCTCAGGCTCCGGCCTTTCCGCCTCCGCTCCTGAGCAGCCAGGACCCCGGGAGCACGCTACTGCACCTGGCCTTCTCATTGGACAGGAATTGAGCTTGGAGATGAACATTTTTTAAAAAAACTTATACTGGGGTTGACCCTGTGGCCTGGTGAATAAGTGAGCTGGATGCCACATGGCTGACCCTGTGGTTCAAATCCTGGACCCGGTGGCATGTGTGTGCATTTGCATGTACCCGAAATGCTGGCTGGAAGGAGAAATGGAGGAGAAGGGATTGCAACATGCCCATACCCCATGGGAGGGTTCCTTTTCTCTCTCCCTCTTTGTCTCTCTCTGGCATGTATGTGAGCCACCTGCTAATTGAAAAAAAAAAAAAAAAGAAAAGAAAAAGACAACAGAGTTAGATTTGGTAGGCCCAAATGAGAACGTTTTCCGGCAAACGCTTTTTGGTACATTCTTAGTAGTTCTAAAGATTTCATCAAAAGAGAACTTTCCTGACAATATTCCGAGAAACAAAAGACCTCCATACAAGCATATTTTACGTTTCTATTAGTTATTGGGCCAAATTTCTGGGGCCTGGTGGTTAAGGTAGCTAGATCCCACGCAGCCAGCCCCGTGGTTCCGGTCTTGGAGTGAAGCACTTCAGAAACACGCCAGATGCGTGTCAGTGCATGCCTGAAATCCCAGCGGGATGCAGGAACGGGGGGGGGACGTGGGAACGGGGGGGGGGGGGGATTGTGGCGAGAGGTGCTTCCTCCCTCTGCCTCTCTCTCTTCTCTCTGTCCAGGTCACGCACTCGGGCAAAAGTTTTAAGAAAAAACTCCTCTTGTCAAATTCAGACAAAAGTTCCATCTCTTCTGGCATAGAGTGTGCCAGAACCTTCTAAGAGAGGAATCAGATGGGTTTGTGTAAAGGGAACATTTATTTCCTAAAACACATGTAAGTTCCTATGGAAATCATTGGTCAAAATTCAGTGCAGATGCTTTTGGAAACTAAAATCGAGATTTCCGAAGAACATTTTTCTCACCATTGTTCTTCCTTTGAAGGAGCCATCACTATGGCCGCTCGGGCTTGGAGGCTGCTGGCCAGGAGCGCCTGTTCCTCGGCGGCGCCATCGGAGAGCCGGAGACTTGAGTATTATCGGCACCGCGAGGCCTACGGGTACTTCCTGCCCATCCAGACGAGGTGGCAGGACAACGACCAGTACGGCCACGTGAACAACGCTGTGTACCACGGCTACTTCGACACCATCGTCAACCACTACCTCATCAGGTAGGCCGGGCCCTGCGGCCGCGCCTCACTGTGCCCGCACGCCCTCGGCTGGGAGTCTGGATGGGCGTTCTTAGGACGGTTTCCTCCCGCTCCCCTCTGTGGGCCCACTGAGCGTGAAGACTGTTCCAGAGGACGAGAGACTGGCAGGGCAGTGGGGACTATCACCCCGTCACTCCTGCAGTCTCAGGTGTTCCTATTTCTTGGTCCTTTGCACAGAATTATCGGCAAATGTGCAGGCTTCGAATCGCGAATAAGCACCATGCACAAACCACATAATGCTCAGACCCTGTGCGACTCGAGCAGGCGTTAGCGTCCACCCTGAAGGCCTTTTGTGAGGGAAGCAGCTGCTTCCCCCACGGAGGGCACGCCGGGTGGAGGGAGGGCAGAGATGCACAGAGACGCTTACTGAAGGCTGAGTACCGCGAGGACGCCCTGACCATCTGACAGGGCTTCTGAGGTCGGTTAGTGCATGTCGGGTACTGCAGCTCCTTAGGAGAAAGAGGCTGCGCTGCACACAGATCTGCGTGGGGTCCAGCTCCATCTTGGTCTCCCATCGAATACATAGTTTTGTTGTTTAAGTCTACTGAGTCTTCTGTAAAAATAACTCACCGAGACCCTTCTTGTTTGTAGCACTGCGGGGCCTTTTACACAAGCTTTCTTCCTCTCAGAACGAGGCCGGGAGAGAGCAGAGATTGCCAGCACCCCCCTAGACCTCTTTGCCAGCACAGCCTTTCTTTGCCGAATGCAGTCCTAGGGCCACCAGAGCTCCTTCTCCGGGCAGGCTGGAAGTGACGGGGATCTAAGGCCTGGGAGTAGAGGTCTCCCACTGCTGGCTGATGGGAATTGGCACATAAGTGCCCCAGCTTCCTCACCTCCTGGGTGAGGTCGCCTGGAGGCTCATACTATACCCAGGTCCCAGACTTCCCTAGGGGGGTTCAACCCCAATTACCCCCACCGATAGCTTTCTTCCTTTTTATTTGAGATAAGATTTACGTGGCACAGGATGCAGTATCAAACCACTCGCTGGTATGCAGTTCAGTGGTTTTTAGCTCACTCACAGTAGCATGCCACTACCATCCTTATCTAATCCCAGAACATTTCTGTTACCCCAAGAAGAAACCCAGGCCTGTTAGCAGTCGCTGTCCACTCTCCTCTCCTCCGTCCCCCTTGGATCTATTGGGTTGTCGGAAACGTCATCATTTCTCTGTTTCCCTATACAAAACTGTGTCATGACTTTTCCGACAACCCAGTACCTCCTCGTGGGGTGGATTTGCCTGTTCTGGCATTCCCCGTGAATGGAATCAAATGGTAGATGACATTTTGCATCTGGCTTCTCTCATTCGCGTGATGTTGTCGGGTGCATCCGTGTCGGGGTATGACTCAGTATTTCACTCCTTTACACGGCTGGGAACTACCCCACGGTGTGACGACGACACATTTGCTTATTCACGGCAGGAAGTTTGGTTGTTTCCGCTCTGGCTGTCGTGAATAATGGTGCTGTGAACGTTTTGGGTACACATTTCTGGGTGGATATGTTTTGAATTCTTTTGGGTGCATGCAGTGAAATTGCTGGGTCATATGGTGACCCTTGGACACTCTGAGGGACTGTCGAACTGCTTCCACAGCGGCTGTGCGTTTGCGTTCCCACCCACGGTTTATGTGGCTCCAGATTTGCCCACGCGCTGGCTAGTGCTTGTTACGTGGCATCTCTGAGGATAGCCATCCTGCTGCGTGTGAAGTGGCATCTCATTTCGGCTTTGTGTTTATCTGATGAGTAGCGTGCGTACTGGCCTTTGGTATATCTTCTTAGAAAAAAGGTCTATTCAAACCCTTTGCCCACTGCTCAATCGGGTTACTCGTCCTTTTATTGTTAGGTTGTAAGTTCTATTCTGGACCCTAGAGCCTCACCAAATATAGATGTGTCAGTGCTTCCTTCTACCCGTGGGCTGTCTTCTCACACCTTGCCAGTTCTGTGCGGATGGCGCAGATGGCAGCATGGCCTCTGCCCTGCGCGCTGGCCCCTCTCCCTGCCTCCCCTGTCCTTGCTTTCACGGGCCTGACCCCTCGGAAGGGAGTCACAGCACACCCACTGCGGGCTCGTGAGGGCAGGAGACGCGACTTCTTCTCTCCCCTGGAGGGTACGGGCAGGGCAGCGCCCACTCGGAGAGCGTCTTTCTCTGCGTGCGCCGGGCGGTCCTGGATCTAGCTCTCCTGGCTACGTGCCCTGTCGTAAAGGCAGCCCCCACGTGCTCACTCGTGAACACCCAACCGCGTTTTCAGCACTCGTCTTTGCTTCTAGGAGCCCTTTGCACTCTGAACCCCACAGCGGAAGGTAAAGACAGTCCTCGAAGTTCGTTATGATTTCCCAACAGGTGCCACATCAGGAAACTGACCTCCCAGCCTCTTCAGGGCTGCCCACTTCTCCTTAGGAGGGTCAACCTCATGCCTTTTTGGGGTGACTTGCAAGTGAGGCCTCATGGTGTTCGGCTTTCACGGCTCTTGAGTGTCCCCCACTCCTGAAGGGCCTCTGGAACGGGAGTGTGAACGATGTCGGGGTCCTTTCTTGGGTGGAGCTGTCCCTGTGACCCAGGTCAGCATAAACCGCTTCCACCAGCTCTGCTTCTGCCAGTCTTGGGGGTGGGGAGGGGGTGGGCAGCAGTGAAAAGCAGAAAGTGAAAGGACACCCCACTGGATAAAAGAGAATATTTCCAAGTCTGTTTATGGTGAGGATCTAGCACCTGGAATAGAAGAGGAACCCTTATAATGTAACACGGACAGGAAGGGTAACCGAGTGAGAAGCGGGTAAGGGAGACTCCCGCCAGGAGGCTGCCCTGTCTCAGGTGGACGTCTCCACGTATTCCTCTCTGACCCTCACGTTGTGGAAATACCCCGTGGCTGTGCCGGGGACCTCGTCCTGGTCGTGTGGAGGGGCTTTACCTGTGCGGTCTCCCGGGAGGTCTGAGGGCAGAAGCAGAGCTGGCAGCACGTAAAGGTGAGAGTGGAGATGGGGGTGTGAGCTCGCCCCTTTCCCGGCCCGAGACCCTGAGCGCAGAGCAGGCCAGCCCAGCCGTGGTGCCAGCCTGGGTGCACCGAAGCCTCCTTTCCTCGCTGCTTTCTAAGGGTGGCCCAGACGCCCCTGGAATAATCTGCTTCAACATGCTCACCTTGAGCACCCCTGCTCTGAGGGTGTCTCCAGGAGCTGAGGGCGGCAGGGCCCTGTGAGAGGGCTGGGGGTGCAGGTGAGAAAGACAGTGGGATGGGCCACGGCCTGCCCAAAGTGTCCACGGCGTTGACACGCGGAAGGGGTTAAGTCATTCCTGAACAGTTTATCGCTCATCAATTGTAATTAAATATGTTTATATTAAGTTACGTGCTGTAATTAATGTAAAACCCTTTAGCCTACGCTGTTATTAGAACCAGATGCCGAAGCGCCAACAGTATTCCAGCATGGCTGTGCTGCTCGCCAGCTGTCTAACTGTAATTACTTTAATCTCAGCTTGTTATCTAATTATCACCTTTGTAAAGGGAAAAGTACTCTCTAATGCTCGCTGATTGTTTCGGATGATGATGAAGAGCGGGAACAGCTGTCAGAGATCGTGGGGCCTGCTTATCACAACGAAGGAACTTATCTTGAAGTGTACTCCAGGCCAAACTGCTGAAAAAAGGCCTGCCAGGTGGGAACTGGGGACTGGCCAGCCAGGGGGACAGGTGGCGGGGTGAGGGACGCAGTCCCCGTGGGTAAAGCGTCAGGTGACACCTGCGTCCCCCGGCAGTGACTACGGGACAGGCTCTCACCTGTGTAAGACCCAGAGCCGTGGGGGTGCTGGACCCGACCTCGGGCCGGGGCGAGGGCACATGAGCTGAGGCGTGAAGCGCTGCACGTGGCCTTTCTCCGTTTCTGTCGGAGCCTTGGTAACCGGATCTGAAGCCGCAGAAAGGCGTACCAAGGGGCCAGCCACTGGGCGTCTCTGCTTTACAAACCGTGTTGCCTTCTCCCTTTTGGAAGCTGGAGCTTTGCCTGCTCATTCAGAAATGGTTCACCCACTCTCCGGGGTGAAGGCGCTGTCCAGGGAAGCCTCGGCTCCTGGGAGGAGGCCTGGGCTCTCCCCTAGTATTTGGGCATGGCGGGTGATGTGGCCACTGTGGCGTGTCCCTCAGTCATCACTAGAGCAGGTCCCCGGGGCTGCTTATTAATAGTACCCCCACTTTCTATCTCAGGGGTTGCATCCCCACCGGAGGGGCGTTGGCACCAGCTCCCCGTGCCATGCAGATGGCAAAGGGCTGGCGGCTTGGAGGGTGTGCGATGCGGGGAGGTAGAGGGGTGGGCAGAGCAAGGAGAGAAAGCAGACCGTGGGCGTGGCGGAATTACCAAGGTGGAGCCAGCACGAGGTGGGGCAGAGCTCCATCTTCAGGAACCTGCAGTTCGAATGTAGTCTTTCGAGGCAGGAAGTAGGGGGCTCCTTGACAAAGGTAGATTTCTTACTCAGGTAATAAGCAGGATCTTCAAAAAGTTAGTGGCAAGTATGTATTAGGCAAAAGCTGTACATGGATTTTAAAATTTTTTGCATCAGGACCAACAGATGGCATAATGCCTATGTCGCTGGACTCCCATGTAGTTGACCGCGGTTCGAGTCCTGGACCCGGTGGCTTAAACTCATGCCGAGCGCGTGTGCGTGTGTGCCCAAGATCCCAAGAAGAAGATGAAGGAGAAGGGATTCTGGTGTGGCCATCCCCCAGGGGGTGATTTCTCGCTTTCTGTCTGTCTCTGTCTGGCGAGCGTACGCGCCCTATAGCAAAAACTTCTCCAAAAAAATTAATAAATATAAATAAACATTTTTGCATCACAATAAGCTTATACTTTAATTCAATTTTTCACAAACTTTTTGAGGTCCCTTCATGGAAAGTCCTTCAGAGAAAAGGAGACCAAAGAACGATGTAGGCAAGCGTGGGCCAGAGAACCCAGAACAAGTCTTGCTCGAAGAGTGGAGAGGGGGGACAGC